ATTCTTGCCTCAGATGATTCAGATTCATCGGCATTTCTTACATTCTCCATTTCACTATAGGCAATATGGTAATAATAAACATATGAAGTTGCTGACTTAAGCACATTAGCACATATATTCATATCATGGCCACACACACTTTCTCATGCTCATGCAATGCCCTAATTACGTTTTTAGGACATTCTATAGCTTATTTGGACACGTGTGTGCGGTATAACTCGTGCTCTGATACCACTCTGTCACGACCCAAACCCGCACCTATGGGTTTAGTATCGCAACCGGCCAGTAATCCGTGATTACCAAAGGCCTGTTTAACAGTAATGACAGTAATACAGAGTAAGGGGCTAGCGGAAACCAAACAGTAAATAAAAGATGTCCAATAAGCTGTGAAAACCTGAATGCAAAAAGACTTTTATGCACAAGCCACATTCATAACCAAAACATATATACATACGTCATATATACATGGCATCCAGGTTAGGGACCAAATTCCTTCAACGTAACTGTACAGTCGGGAAGTCTCATTCATCTATTACAAAACAGAGACAGAATGGTGAATCTGGAACACCCCAAAACGGCCTTAGCTTGAACGGACTTGGAACCTCGAAGTGATGCACAATGGTTGGCTCGACAAAACGAGAGCTTAGCTCAATGCTCCTAGCTCCGGTCCAGTGCCTGGACACCTATATATAAATATAAACAGTGAGCTAAAGGCTAGTGAATAACATATGCGTAAAGGGGTTAAGAATGAATGTCCTTTCATTAATTAAAACAGTAATTTGCATCAGTAAATCAGTTATTCAATCAGTGGCTCATATTTTATGCCATATCAATCATTTAGAATTCATAATAGTCATACGTGGTACGTCCAATAGCAAAACAGTACAGTAGGTCTTAATAAACCGAACAGTCAGTTGATGGCCATCATAACAGTAAACAGTAGTAGTTCCAAATATTGGAACTGACAGAGATCTCTGTAACAGTAGCAGTAATAGTACAATAACAGTAAATTGCTATGGATGCCACGAATACAGTTTATAAATAGGACAGACATTCATTCAGCAAGTAATGTCATTTCAGAAAGCGGTACAGTCACTCGTTCAGAAATAATTATAATTGAACGTATCTTTACAACATTGTTACTCACAGAGTACTGGGCTATAGACAGGTTAGTCAGCGTCCTCAGGTGCTAACCCTACACAGTTGCAGAACGAACACACACCAAGTTACACACTTAGGATTAATAACTTAGCCCCTTAACTTGACTCGGTGTGGTTCTATAACATTATCCTCATTAAGATGCCTTAAACATGGCTTAGGAATACCTAGGATGGAATGAGGATGCAAAAATGTGCTTTAAAACACTTTTCAAATTTTTTGCTGAAACAGGGGTCTCGCTCGAGCGTGGCTTTCTACACTCGAACGAGCTTACCAAAACAGAGGGGTCGCTCGAGCTTGGACTCCCTCGCTCAAGCGGTCTGTAAAAAAACATGAAAAGTACTGGATGTTGAAAATCCCCGCTTAATGCTCGCTCGAGCGTAGGTCTTGTCGCTCGAGCGTGCGTTTGCACACGCAAAGAACCTGAGAGCTTGCAATCTACGCTCGAGCCAACATTTCGTCGCTCGAGCGGAGCCCCGAACACAAGGTGGTCGCTCAAGCGTGGAAACCAAAATCTGGAATTTCTAAATTTGCTCCCAAAGCTCAAACCAAGAATCAAACATATCAAAACTCATCCTTTTGGGCCAATTTTCTAGAAAACACTTAGAAACCCAATATACAACATGTTTCAAAGATCATTTTATGAAATCAAACCCAAAGGTGTGACAATTGAACACAATTTTGAATGAAACTTGAAGAATAATGCAAGAACATCACATGCATGAGCTCCTATGAACTCTAATGCTCTAAAACGTAATCAAATTCAAGCTTCAACTTTAAAACATGGTGAATTCTTGAACCACAACTAAAATATGAACATGCATGTGAGGATTTCATGAAAACAACCTCAAAATTTTATGATATGAACATGCATGTATGAATTAATTAAAGTTCCTTGAACTCTAGCTCAATTAACCCATGAATTCAACTTGAAGAATAATGCAAAAACATCACATGCATGAGCTCCTATGAACTCTAATGCTCTAAAACGTAATCAAATGCAAGCTTCAACTTTAAAACATGGTGAATTCTTGAACCACAACTAAAATATGAACATGCATGTGAGGATTTCATGAAAACAACCTCAAAATTTTATGATATGAACATGCATGTATGAATTAATTAAAGTTCCTTGAACTCTAGCTCAATTAACCCATGAATTCACCTATTTCATGTGTAAACAAGTTCTAGATGGCTCAATGACAAGATTAAGGGGTTGAGCTCTTACCTAAACTCCTTAATTAAGCTTTACTTAAGCAAAGTTCTTGAGCAATTCAACAATTCTTCAAAATTTCCTCAATTTCTTCTAATTCTCCAAGCCAATTTTCTTGTTGAACTCAATTTCTCCCAACTCACTCTCTCTCACGGTTTTGCCAAGAAGATGGATGAAGAAATGATGTAAAACTAAGCTCCAAACAATAACTCTAAAGGTGCCCCACCCAATGGCAAAGATGTAATAACCTATACTCAATTAATCTAGCATTATTTAATCTAATTTAATCATTCCAAATCAAATTTTAATTAAACCTACCATAAAATCTTATAAATCCTAATTAGCATATAACATTAATCAATTATTGATTCGGTCGCTGATAAGGCCTTCAATTTGCAATTCAAAATTAAAACATGAATAGATCAGTTAATGACAAACAGATAGAAATACAATTAAAGCAACACACTCATGCAAACAGATTAGGATTTCATTCTAATCAATTACTTATCATGCTCAATTACAATTTAACACTAATCAGATGTGAGGGTTGTCACACAAATAATCTACTAAATTTTTTACCAAACCTCTCATATAGGTATAGGACCCACACACATGTAGATTTGTGTGAGTCTCATACCCATGTGATAGATTTGGTAGAAAATTTGATAGATTATTTGGGATCCATAACATTTCCTTATTCATAATGATTTATGATTTGTCAAATATTTAATTATCGGTGATGCTACATGCACTAATTAGTGTACTAACTAGTGTGTGCTAATACTAGTTATGACATTATTATTGATTTCACTCATTAATCACATTACAAATATCCAAAACTTCTTAAATTATGTTATATCATCAATTGATACGCTAATTAATACATTAATTAATACATATAGCATTATTCTTTAATTGTATAGGGTCCACTACCTTCTCACATCATTACAAATGCATTTAGTGAAAATGAGAGTCTCTTGCATTTCACTAAACAAATTTATGTTTTAATTGTTTCTTAATTAGCTAGACCAAATCAATGCCGTAACAACCGGAGAAATTTACATTTTAATCCTTCCTTAATTGTCAATGCCATGCCAGCCAAAATGACTCCTGAACAAATGTTTTACTTGTGATTAATTTAAAATATTAAATTATATTCCAAAAGTGTATTAATTTCGTTTAAAATTGTGAATTTCATTATTTCATATCAATTACAAGTTTTTTTTTGTTTTTTTGTTTTTTGGTAAGGTGTGTGAATAAAATCACACTTCACCAAAATTTGGAACATTTTGAGGAGATTAGTGGTTCAAACCTCTCTATCTCCTATATTTTTTAAGGTTTCTCTACTCTACTTTGGGAATTTTTCTTTATATTAAGGGTTGATTACACTTTTCATTCATGTAATTTGATTCAAATTTTATTTTAGTCTCTATAATTTTAATTTGAACAATTTAATCTATACACTTTAAATTGAATGTTAAAATTAATAATTTTTGGACACTTGTCACTTTAAGTCTAATTTTATTTCCTCATCCTATCTAAATTTGAGGTTAACATTAATAATTTTACAATACTTGTCAATTTTCTAATATGTATATAAAAAAAAAATTAACAAAAATTTAAACAAAAGAGCCAAATTAAAATTAGATTTAAAATGTAAGGACTATATTATTCACATTAAAACTATAGAAATTAAAATAAAATTTAAGTCAAATTATAAGGTGGAAAGTGTAATTAACCCTTATATTAATGATGTATTATAATAATTTTCATTATTAGGATTGCAACTGACATATATCAATAAAAAAAGAAAAAGAAAGCAAAGTAAGAAGGGTATTTTTGTCATTTAAAGAGGTATGTGCTTAAAGCTGTGGGCGATCATCTACGTGTCCTTTCTAAACTGTATCCAAAATATTACTAGTCTTTTTTAGAATTTTTTTTTTTGGAAACATAATTATTATATTTATAATTTAAAAATATTATTTTTTAAAATTATCATTTTGATAGTATAATTATTACATTTTAAAAGCATTGATATTAATAAATTTAAAGCTCATTTTAGAAAATAGATTAAAATTTATTATTTTTTTTTATAAAAAATATTTATAAAATGATAGAAAGATAAAATGACTCAAAAAAAAAATTAAAAAAAAAATTACTAAAAAAAAGAAAAATAAAAAATTTATATTATTTTAATTTTAAAAGAGGTACTAATATTTTAAAGCAAAGCCAGTAATACAAACGATTCAAGGGTGAGGAAAGGGTTGAATGATATCACATCATCTATTAGTACATTAATATGTACAATAATTGATATATATAGTATTATTCTTATAATTTATAGAGAAATGTTATGTATTTCAAATATTTTACTAAATGTTTTACCAAATTTATCTTATAAGGTAGAATTTACACAAATTTATATTTGGTAAAATATTTAGTAGAATATGTGCCTCCCTAGCATAACTCTAAGAAAAATGTTTCCTACCCTCACTGGGGGTCGACCCCCAGTGAGGTGTCGCTCCGGAATTGATCAAAAAAAAACTATTTTTTTTTTTCTTTTTTTTTGAGTTTTCAGGCAGTGGGGCGCGACCCCCACTGGGTATGCAGCGCTGTTGTAACTCTAATTTGTATAATAATGTGATACATTAATTGTGCATCTACCACCACCGAATATAAATAGAGCCTGTGCCGTACTGATCTTATCTAACTTCGAAGTCTCTAAAGTCGTCTCGAAAATATCTCTTTCTCTATCATCGTCTTCGTCATCCTGTTCAGGGCTTTACTGTAAGGTTTTGCTTCACAAGTTATCATTGATATTTTATATATATATATTTATGTGTGTGTTTGGGATTCATGAATGCTTGTTTGTAGCTGTTAATATTGCTGAATTTTGGTTTGTTTAGCCCAAATTTGATAAATTACTTGTAAGTGGTCGATTTGATTTGCTTTGCTGGTTTTGATGTGGTCTCTCACAAAATTTGTTCGAAATTTCTGATTTGAATGGTGTATATTTGTTATATTCTGGGTTAGATCTCCGTTTTTGTTACTGTTGTTGTTGTTCATATTCTTGAATTTCAGATGTTTTGTGAGTCAATAGCTTATGGTAACTTTGTTGGAAATTGAAATTCGTTATTTAACTGTTAATTCCTTTTACTTGTTTTTGGTTCTTGAAATTAAGGTATATGAACATGTGGTTTTTATTGATCTTCCATGATATACACGACTAAACACCACTGAACTTCCAAACAAAATTTAGAATATGTAATAGAATTTCGTCCAAAAGTTTTGGGTTTTAACCAAGGTTTTGAAAAGCGGTTGCGGTCGCTATAACAGTTGTGAGGTGTAAAGGCCGTAGTGTAACGGTTGCGATAATCGGAACTGTGGTTTTTTTTTTAAATTTTTCACACAATTTGAAGAAAACTTACCGATACAAATATTTTTTTTTTCTAGAATCACATTTGTTGGTGTTTAAATAAATTTTGATCAATTTTTATTAATTTTTAAGTATGATCTAATATATTTCATATTTTCAAATCACTATAAAAGGAGTTTTTTCCATTTTATTTCAATAGTCAATGATTTTAAGAATAATTGATTTTAAATGTCTACAAATTATTATTTTTTTTTGGGTGAATACAAATTATTTTTTACCAATATCTAAATTAACTAAATAAAAAATATTCACAATTATTAAATGAAAAGATTATAAAATAAAAATTATGTCATAAATTTTAAAAAAAAGTATAAAGAAAAAAATTCATATAAGATTTTTTCTTTGGGCTTAGACCAGTTGAGTATTTGTTTTTTTTTTTTGCAAGTTTTTTTTTTTGGAAAAATGAAGTTATTCAAAATATTGCAAAAATGTGTAATGGTGTTTAATGGACTGTTACGATACTGCTACGGCCGTTACGTACCATCGAAACGGCCGTTATACATGTGAATTTTCGTGACACCGCTATAGTGGCCATCATGGGTGGTGGTAACTACCACAACTCTTACGTAACGGTGTCTGATGGACCGTTATGATACCGCTACAGATGTTACGTAATATCGAAATGGCCGTTATACATGTGAATTTTCGTCACACCGCTATAGCGGCTGTAATGGGTGGTGGTAACCACTACAACTCTTACGTAATGGCGTTACGTAACGGTAGCAGCTGTTTTTTAAAACCTTATTTTTAACAAAATGACCCTGGTGGATTTAGGAACAAATATTAAATTTTGGAGTTTTACCAATTGACCCAATGGAGTTAAAAAAAATTTAATAAAAAATTTTTATGGAAAATTTCAATCTTTTATAAAATTTTATTAGTTTGTGTGACATTGCTCATTTTTTAAACGAACCCAGTGTTCGTACGTACTCTTTTGTTCGTTCTCTGTGTCTCCAACGTTGGTCCCTTGCCTTTTTTCCATCGCAGAAACTAATTAGCAATCTATCAACTTTTCAAAAGTGTCCAGTCAAAAACAAAAGTAAAGCATTATTTGAGGCTATATTGTAATTTTTAGATGGATGAAGTAGACAATATTTTATGTTTTTAGGATCAAGCTCCATGTGTAACTTCATGCTTGCATGTTGCAAGAACCCAAAAGGGGGAAAAAAAAACAAAAACAAAAACACTCTATGACTATATGGGTTATTCAATTTTTATCAATCTTTGCTTCATTTTGGGTAATTGTTACTGGAATTTTTCAATTCACCAGCATAAGTTCATCTCATATATAGGATTGAACTATGGGTCAAGCTTTGGGTTGCATTCAAGTGGACCAGTCTACAGTTGCTGTTAAGGAGCAATTTGGGAAGTTTGATGAAGTGCTTGAGCCTGGTTGTCACTGCTTACCATGGTGTTTTGGGTACCAGGTAGCTGGGGAATTATCATTACGTGTGCAACAACTAGATGTTCGCTGTGAAACAAAAACTAAGGTTTGTGTTTCTCTATACAACAGTGTCATTGTTTTATCTTTTTTATGTGCCTATTTGTGCAACTTGAAGTTGTTAAATCAAAGCTAAGTATCATGTCCTAGTAAAACAACTCTCAAATAACCTTTTTTAGATAGGGAAAAAGTGTAGAATTGTGTAATATGAGCTAGAAAAGAGGAGATATAGGCAGAAGATCAAACTGGTATTACCTATGTGATGTTCGAATCTAACTTCTAGCAATCTATGGTGCCATTGTTAATGGACAATTTTTCACCTCATTGTTTCATCTATCTGACGCTTGAAGTAATTTAGTTACAAAATTGATATTGTTACTATTAACATCATTATAAATTTTATTGCTGAATGTTATAAAGTTAACCAGAAATAACTATAAAACCTTTTTTTTCCTTCCTTTTGTTTTGTTTCTTTTCTTTTCTTTTTGTGTGTTCATGAAGAAGTTGAACTCTATATGACTCAATATTATCTGCTTGCTTACTATGTTTGCTCTGCAAAGAGGAAACAATGATCTTGTAGTTAAATTTCTACATAATTAGCAAACTTGACTTGAGACTTACCCTTTATCTTTTGTGGTTATATCTTTGAGGAAAAGACTCTTTAATATTATGGGTCAGTTGGTTCTTTTAAATTCCATATTTGTGTGTGTAATTGATGATGGTGCTAGAAAAGAATGATTGATCTCTTTTGTTTGTATGTAATATTATGAGTTTAGGCTGAAAGATTTTCTATATCATTGTGGAATTTATATTCTGCCCCTTTAAAAAGCTTCACTTTGGTGTGTTTTAGCACCCTGGCAACCATGGTTGTATTGTCTTACTATAGGGAAATAAATAGAAGTCATATTTATTAACAAGATACTCGTGCATCTTGGTTAATCCGTAAAACTATTTTTGTTAATATGGCCATTTGATAATTTGTTGTCTTTTAGAGGTTACCTCTTGCCTCCCTTTGTATTTTTGCTCAGGGTTCTAAATATAATCCAGTTTATTGTAAACCTGCTGGTTTGTATTGGTTTTTTTTAACCTTCAGGTTTGGATACTTCCTGCTAGACTGGTGTGAGTAAATTTCACATATGAACTGGCCGTCTTGTCCGGCAAACTGGTCTGAATTGGATTATAATGTCAATGCTGATTCATTAAAAACAAACTGAATTAAGTCATTTTGCACAAAGAACACCTTTCCTTCTCTTAATTTTTTTTCCTTATGTGGAAGATTCTTACCTTATTTTACCACTCTTGCTCATTTTGGTACTTCTCCCTTTTCATGGAATGCATTTATATTTTCAACATCAAATCAAGACTGATGTGGTTTCTTGTTATTTTGCCTATAATTTTATTGATTGCACTCTAGTGTGATCAAGTTATAAATTGTGATTCTTGTTTACTTTGCAGGATAATGTCTTTGTCAATGTGGTTGCATCTATTCAGTACCGTGCCATGTCTGATAAAGCATCTGATGCTTTCTATAAGCTTTCCAACACAAAGGGACAAATCCAAGCCTACGTCTTTGATGGTATTGATGCATGTTTATTGTTATTTTCTTTATCGCAATGTGAAAAGGCAGATTCAGCATCTATTTATATGAATTTTTTCCTACTAGGCTTGTCAAGATTAAAATTTGATTATTTTTTTTCTGCCGATGCATCACCCTCCCCCTGCTCCAGAGTTGTTTTGTTGTCACCAAGAGATGAAACTTTGCTCATGGATATTACTGGGTTCTATGCTGCTGACTATGTAACTCTTGCAAGTTACAAATACCCATGCCAGAGAAAAAAAATTTAAAACAAAGAAAAAAAGAAAAAGGAAAGCAACCTGAAAAGTGATATCCGTATTTTTTCTTTTGATGAAAGAAGAACTGATTACTGTCGATTCCTAGGTATTCCATCTTCTTAGTGTTGTTGATTTTGCAATTCATTTATCTTCTGTTTTGTATTTAGAAAGGCTACCATTTATCCTCTGTATTTCTGATTCTGAGTAAGTATTGCATCCTAGTCCTAATTGACTCTTAGTTCTATTATTACTTGCCAATGGTTGGTTGAGTACTTTACAAAATGTGTGGGCCCTTCCCTATTTCCTCAGTATTCTATTCCTTTTCCTTTATTTTAGTCTAAGTGATACTAGAAAAATTGAGGAACAAGTCTCAAATGGCTTAATTAGTTTTCAAACATGAAGTGTATCAGTGCTGGCCCTGTTAAAAAAGAAAAAGAAAAAAGTGGTCCGGGTGCCACTGAACTTGAGGTTTCGAGAGATACAACTGATTTAGGTCTGAATATTGATTGTTCTGATGATAATCTTAGTAGCTGTTTCAGTTTTTTTTAAAAATTGTAGATGTATAAAGAAATAAGAATTGGGGAACTCATTGCTGCACCTTCACTCCTCATTCCAGGCACACATCTCCCTACTCCTTACTACCTTAGTGTAAAAATGATGCATTGTGCTGGATAGAATTGTTTGTAGTACTGGATTAAGTGTTGAGATTTATATTAAAACTAATGGGCCACCCCTCCATCAATCTGTTCAGTTATTAGGGCAAGTGTACCAAAGATGGACTTGGATTCTACTTTTGAGCAGAAGAATGATATAGCAAAAGCCGTGGAGGAAGAACTTGAAAAGGTGATAATTGTCTTCATAAAACAGAAAATGTAAATGCATCTATTTTGAATGGCAATCATCTCAATATTTATGCTGTTTCCCTTACCCTTTGTAATGTATGTAGGCCATGTCTGCTTATGGGTACGAAATAGTCCAGACTCTTATTGTGGATATTGAGCCAGATATTAATGTGAAAAGGGCAATGAATGAGATAAATGCAGGTAACAGTGCACATGCCTGAATAATTTTGACTGCAATATCTGCTTCTTGCTTTTTTCTTACACCTGAATTAGAATTGTGATTGTCTAAGCTGTCTTAAATTTTTTAATTGAAGAATGGTCAGGAAGCCACTTTTTGCTATTTCTCACATGCTGAAAAATATTAATTACAAACATGTTTTGCTTGTATTTATGATTACAAAACAATCTTTTGGAAGTATAAGGTTACATGTGCAATACACAAATGCATCATGCATGCTGGATTTCATTACTCAGTTTATTTGTTTGGCCGCCTGAGAATTTAGATGATTTACATTGTAAGGCTGTGTACGTCGTCATGCCTTCCCTTGATCCCTGGTTTATGCTATATTTGATCTTGAATTTGTGAAGGGAAAAGAAAAAGGAAGGGATTTGTGAAAAAGTAGCTTCTATTTAATTCACTTTTCCCTGCACAAATCCCTCCTCAAATCCACAATCTAAACATAGCCTTAGTGGGAGACTCGTGCACTAGATCACCATTTTTTAAGTTTGAGTGTTTTTCTCTCTTACAAACAATGAAAATTTGTTGAGTAAATCAAAGACAAAATGGACTTTACTCTTCCAATGCTTCTATCATTTTGTTATAAAGCTATTCATCATTCACCTGCTGGTTGTTGTCAAGTGTAATTATATTCTGATTATCCTTTTGGTTGTCATCACAGCTGCTAGAATGAGGGTTGCAGCAAATGAGAAGGCTGAAGCAGAGAAAATATTGCAGATCAAGCGAGCTGAGGGAGAGGCAGAGTCTAAATACCTTTCAGGGCTTGGAATTGCTAGGCAGCGACAAGCTATTGTGGATGGACTGAGGGACAGCGTGCTTGCTTTTTCAGAGAATGTGCCTGGGACCACAGCCAAGGATATTATGGACATGGTGCTTGTGACTCAGTACTTCGACACCATGAAGGAGATTGGGGCTTCTTCAAAATCCTCTGCAGTTTTCATCCCACATGGGCCCGGTGCTGTGAGAGATGTCGCTGCGCAGATCCGAGAGGGTCTTCTTCAGGCTGACAGTGTTCAGCATTAAATTTGGAGCATATGGAAGGAACTTGGAGGTTGGACTTTCTAGGTTTCCTTTCCATGGCTAATGAATGGTTTTGGTGTTGATGGAAAATTATTAAACATATTGTTGAAGTGGTATATAACTAGGATTTGACCACAAGTATATATATATATATGTTTGCATATATATAGGCCGAGTGGTGTGCAGAATGGTTTTTCAATTTGGTTTTTGCTTGCAAGATTGATTCTCTTTATTATTGAATACATGTGATTGTAATTCTTATTTAAAGTTCCGTTTTCATTTTATTTTTATCGTGTTGCAGCTGTTGTCCTATGATTGTAGTTTTCCTAGAATCTGAGGGAAAATTTTACTGTGTTATTTGGGATTTCCATTGTTTGGTTTCAAGTGTCCTACATAGTACCCAACTGTTGGTCTCAGCACACTTCTCAAATTTTCTCAATTCACTTGAAGTACTAGTTTTGGATTATCTTGCTGGTTGAGAAACTTGTCTACTACTTCTATATATATTTTAAATGTTATATCTAATTTGCTCTACTATTGTAAATTTTGAAAATTGTAAATAAAAACTCGTTCAGTATCTAATTTTGTTTTCAAGAACTTGTAAATGCTATGGCTTTAACTATAATTTCTTATATTTAAACTCCCAAGGTGCAAATGAAACTTATACTTTGAATAATGGCAAATTTTTTTATTGGGCTGTAATATGGATTTGGGTATATGAGTAAGGGCTGGTTTATATGAATCTTTATTCAATCAACCCACCCCTAGACATGGACAGCCTCAGCTTAACTTTCTTTAGGATTGTGGACTTGACCTTAATTGGTCAGATGGTAACTAAAATTATATCTTCTAAAAAATATGGTACCCGACTAGTGCATCTTAACATTATTCCTTACTTCGAAAATTAGATGTTTTAATTTTATTTTTAATTACTCTAATTTATTTTCTATTTTATTTTGGATGGTCAGGATTAGGTTTTGATAAAAACACACTAAAAATCATCATTCCAACTATGCTATTTTTTAATTCTTTTTTTTTAAAAAAGATTTGGTTCCAACCAGAGGTGAATAATTTAACCAGCTGAGAAGCCAAAAGTGATTGATTTGATGTGTATGAGAGAGAGATTTGTTTGGAAAACTTGTAAACCAAGCAAGTTTTGGAAAAAAATTTTGAAAAATTTTGTTTGGTTTGATTACTTTTGAAAACTTATTTGTAGAGAATTTTTTCCAAAATTTTTTGGGAAACAACAACCAAACAAGGCCTAGATGTTTTAATTTTATTTTTAATTATTCTAATTTATTTTCTATTTTATTTTGGATGGTCAGGATTAGGTTTTGATAAAAACACACTAAAAATCATCATTCCTTCCAACTATGCTATTTTTTAATTCTTTTTTTTTAAAAAAGATTTGGTTCCAACCAGAGGTGAATAATTTAACCAGCTGAGAAGCCAAGGTAAGCCTATGGTTTAAGGGAGGTTGGAGACTAACCAAAATTTAAAAGATTTTGAATTCAATAATAGATCTCATCTTATTTTACTTCATACTTGTGACTTGCAGGTAAATAGGGTCTAATAAGTTACCCTATCTTGAAAGGTTCTTTGTCATTAAAAAAGGTGATATTATTATAGAAAACTTGATGCTTAAAAATAATATAGTTAAAGAGTAATATTATATAAAATTCTATTTCTTACTTTATTTTCTCCATCCTAAAAACACAAGACAATAAGACTTACATTAATAGATGCACATAAAATTCACTCACTTGTGTCTAGAGGTAAGAAAATGCATTAAGAATTTAAATTATATCATTATATGTATCATTTTGCTATAGCTAATCACTTGATGACAATAATACCCCTAAAAAGTAAATAAATAAATAAAATAGAAAAGAACGAAAGAAAGAAAGATAAAGGAGAGTGTAGTTTATGCAAATAAGGGTAAATTATAGTTATAGTCTTTAAAATTTAACACATTTTTTCTTTTAAGTCTTTACAGTTTAATTTTGTCAATTAAGTCCCTAAAATGATAAATTCGAATAAATATAGTCTTGAAGACAATATAAAAATAAAACATAAGTCCAAAGATTATATAAAATTGTTAAGGGCCGGATTTTAATTTATTGTTAATTATTCTCCGCACGTGTGCTTTTAGATTTGGTAGATTTTTCCAATACTGATTAATCCTAATTACTTATATAGGTCTTTCTCTATTTCTATTATACTATTATTTATTTCTTCTAATATGCGATTATCCATTTTATCTAATTTTTCGACTATTTCTAATATTGTGTTATATTTAATTTTATTATCGCCATTATTTAAAACACTTCTAGAGTATAATTTGTTAGGTTTTTATTCTTGGCAACCCCGTTTGACAAAACTCCTTTCAGATGTATTTATTTTCGCACTTTTATTTCAGTGGGGCTATGAGTTTATTAGATGCGAATCCAAACCCGAATCGAACCATGCAGAGAAGTTTGTGATGTTAATGCTTTCAAGATTGCCACTTCGCTGATTATTACGGGGGTCGAGCTGACCGATCAACTCGCGGCCGAAGCAAATTGCAAAATTGCTATATTCTGCTTAAAATTGGTACATAATCACAAATCAACATCTAGGGGATTTCTAGATTTTTCATAATTATTTAGATACATTTTTATATTTTTCTAGTGGTTTTAATTCAAAAGGTTCCCTTAAAGAGTTTCGTATAAGGATAAGAATAATTATCTATATTATTTTTGGGAGACTTACGTACAGATCCTAATAGTTTGACTTTTTGTCTAATAGATCCTATGATAATTAATGATATTTTTCATCAAACACTATTTAAAAAGGTTACTAATTGTTAATTTTTAGTGACAGTTTGAAAATTGTCACAAAAATATCACTAATTATAAGTTTTAGCGACAGTTTAAAAAAATCGTTACAAAAAATGTCACTAATTTTCAACTTTTAGCTATAATTTAAAAAATTTGTCGCAGAAAAAGTCGCTAATTGTAAGTTTTAGCGACAATTTATAAAAATCGTGACAAAAAAATCACTAATTGTTAACTTTTAGCGACATGCACAAAAAATCGTCACAAAAAATTACTTTTGACAATAATTTTACTGTGACTTATTTTCAATAGGATTTTATAGGAATTAAGTCCAACAATTAGGGCTTATTTGTAGTTTACTATTTATTTTATTATTGATTTTCTACAAGAGCTAACTACTTACATTTATTTAATAATAGATAGATGTCGAACTTCATATATAATTTCAAGTTGATTTTCTTGAAGATTTTCATTAATTTCTTTTAATAATCTGATTATAGTATTATTTTATTCGATTATTATTTGTAGTACGGTATTATCATTTTTGACTTCTTCATTATATCTAATACTTATATATTAATATTAGCAAATACTCTGATACCAATTCTAAAATATACACACAGATAATAATTAAGTGAATAATAAATTAAAATTCGGATCTTGTAATAATTTTATATAACCTTTGGGTTTATGTTTTATTTTTCAATTGTTATCAAGACTAAATTGATTGGAATTTAATATTTTAAGAACTTAATTGACAAAATTAAAACTTTAAATAAAAAATGTTAAACTTTAGGACTGTACTTGTAGTTTATCCTACACAAAAAACATGAAGGCTCCTCGTTTATATCCCCGTGTTCTTGTTGGATGCTGTTAAATAACACAGTAATGTACAATCTTTCTTTGTTTATCGTTGATGTCAAAGCTGTCAATCTATTTTTATTTATTTATTGTCATTATTTGTTGTCTATCTGTGAATTATTCTTCTTATGTTTATCTGTCATCAATAGCGTGTCGCATTAATGCCTTTAAGATAAAATTAAATAAATATACATATGAAACATAACCATTCAACATGTATATTCTATGTTATTGACTTTGTTTTAGTCTTAATTCTAATTTCGTGTTTGATACACAAGAAATCTCTCTCAGAAATTTCCCAAGAGATATAGGTGAATACCCATATACACAAAATTAAATCATAAAAAAAAAATATCGACAATATGTCATCGCGATGAATACACAAGAGGGATATTCTAATTTGTCCGTATTATCATCATTTTCATTACAGAGACGTGTTCGTTGTGCTAACATGTAATATATGTAAATTGGTTGGAACGGGTCAACTAGGTATGGGAATGGCGTTGGTTGAATTGAATTTGTATTTTAAAAAACTAAACTGTCAAACGAAACAATTTGGGAGATTGAGGATTATGGGTAGGCGTTACAAGAGGTAAGTCGAAACTCATTTTGGTGTCTATTTATAACCCTTCTCATCATCTAATCATTTTCCCTTGAGGCCAACGCCACTTGTAATTAGTCTGGTATGCAACTCTCTCTCTCTCTCTCTCTCTCTCTCTCATCTTTTGTCACATGTCTACGTCTGTGCTTCGTAGATGAAGAAAATAAGATCAAAATTTACAATGTAATATTATTACATACTTTTTGTAGTACAACTAAAAATTTCTGGCAAATATGGTTTACAAACTTTTATTCCTTAGTAGAATAACCAATGACTCCCTCCATCCCAAATTATTTGTCTATTTTTACTATTTCCCATGTCTCAAAAAATTATTTATATATTTTTAATTTATTCTTTTTCAATCATTTTAAAAACTTTATCTTCAAGAACTAAATTGAGATCTTTTACTTTTGTGGAGAAAATTTTGAATTTTCTTTGACAAAAATATATATTGACCTGATTAAAGGACTCGAAGTGGACAAACAATTAGGGACAGAGGAAGCATAGTTTTAGCTCTCAGAGGATCAATGGATTTGCACAAAAGAGAAAAGAATTTACTTGCAAATTTGAGTGGGTTTTTATAGATAGAGAGATAGAGCAAAGGTCATGTATAAGTTCTTGTTGAATACCTCTTACACCCAATACCCAAAAAATATGTATACATGTTATGCATATATAAGTCTTCAAGATCTATTTGATAGTAGTTCATACTGACAATTTTTTATTTTTTATTTTTTAAATGTCAGAAATTAGAAAGAATGGGTAATATACTATGTTGTGTGCAAGTTGATCAATCAACAATTGCTATAAAGGAAAGATTTGGCAAGTTTGATGAAGTACTTGAGCCAGGTTGCCATTTCATGCCTTGGTGTCTTGGAAGAAAGGTCGCCGGTCATCTCACCCTCCGCTTGCAGCAGTTGGATGTGCGATGCGAAACTAAGACTAAGGTTTCGTTTTGTCTATATACACGAGTGGCTTGGTTCGTTTTATAGTCCTGTTCAGAACCTAATAATCACAACTCGCAAAGACAACTTACAATTAAAAATTTCTTCTCAACAGTATAATAACTTCTTGATTTGAATCTAAAAATGAATATTCATTTTTATTTTACTGCAGGATAATGTATTTGTAAATGTTGTTGCATCTATACAATACCGAGCCCTGGCTAACAAAGGGAGTGATGCTTTCTACAGACTCAGCAATACTAGAACCCAAATCCAAGCCTATGTATTTGATGGTATGTGTATTTTTTATTTTTTTTTGAAGGAAGTCTAACACAAATTTATAAATTACTTGTAATAAAAAATAAGCAAGGGATTTCTTTATTTGAACTGTTTTACTAGTGATCAGAGCAAGTGTTCCAAAGCTAAACCTAGACGATGCTTTTGAGCAGAAAAATGAAATTGCAAGAGCTGTGGAAGATGAACTTGAAAAGGTAAAGAAAGAACTAGCGTGACTAACAATTATGTAAACTGAATTTGACATTATTGTGCTTGGATTTAACATTGATGATTCACAGGCTATGTCTGCCTATGGGTATGAGATTGTTCAGACACTCATTGTTGATATTGAACCCGATGAGCACGTTAAGCGAGCCATGAATGAAATCAATGCCGGTAAGCTCTGTAGTCCCCTCGAAATCAATGAAATCGATGATTTTTCATTACCAGTATTGTTCTTTTGGTGGCATCTTATAAGTTGGGTTATAGGTTTTTGTAAAACATGTTAGCGAAAATATGTGATTCCCCACAAGTAAATCAATAAATGAGAATAAAAATTAATGCAGAAAAATTAAATCAAAAGCACACAAGAATTTTTACGTGGTTCCCTCAATGTGAGGTACGTCTACGGCATCGAAATTCGATTCCACTATCAACCAAACAGTTTCCAAACGAGGCTCGAATGGTCTCACAAAATCACCCTTACGTGAATTCCAAATAATCACAAATAAACAAGAGGAAAGACCTCACCAAATAGATGAACAAAAATCTTCAGAATCAGGGTTGAAGAAGACTCAGGCATAGTTTCGGAAGTTGGTTTTGGTGGGTTAGGGGCTAAAATAGCCACAAAAAACAAATAGGCTATTTTAGCCACAAAAAACAAAATATCAAATCCAACCCATAATCATTACACTCCTCTCACAAAAAAAGTCAAAAAATCTAAAAAGTCAAAAAGCCCTTCCCAAACCAGACTTTTTAGCCCCAGGCTAAAATAGCCAAAAAGGCAAAAAGCCAACCCACTTCCCAAACGGAGGCTCAAAATAATAATCCAAATTAGCTTCCAAGCACCAGCCGAAAGCATACAAATAATGCTTCAAAAGCAATCAAATCTTGAACCAAGTGAAACCTCCAAGCATGAGGATCTTTTTTGCTGCTGCCGTAGTGTACATCACACGGAAGAACATAAACAATATTTTTATATTGTTAATTCTAGGGTTTGTTTTATCAAAACCCTAGCTGTAATTAAATTGGATTGTATCTCTACAAATTAGATATAATATATTAAAATATATTATACCTAAACCAAGTTAAACTCTTTAACTAAAACCAATTGGGTTCCAAACTCCACTAAGAAAGTATACCCAACAATTCTGCCCCTACCGACTTAGGTGGAGATATCAACCATACCCGCCAAAATTCGACACTTTAAATGTTTGTCCCTCGACAAAGTCTTAGTCAACATATCCGAAATATTATCATCTGTGTGAACCTTTTCGAGTTGTAAGAATTTTGAATCTAACACATCACGAATCCAATGGTATCTGACATCAATGTGTTTTGATCTCGAATGAAAAGTAAAATTTTTACTCAAGTGAATAGCACTTTGACTATCACAATAAAGCACATACTTTTCTTATTTCAAACCCAACTCTTGCAAAAAAAATTTCAACCATAACTCTTCTTTGCAAGCTTCTGTAATGGCAATAAATTCAGTTTCGGTAGTTGAGAGAGCAACACATTTTTGTAATTTAGATTGCCATGCCACAGCTCCCCCTGCAAAAGTCATCAAATACCCCGAAGTAGATTTCCTAGAATCAATATCACCAGCCATGTCAGAATCTGTGAACCCATCAAGTATCGGCTTACCATCCCCAAAACACAAACACACCTTCGAAGTCCCTCGAAGATACCTTAGAATCCATTTTACCGCTGCCCAATGTTCTTTACCCGGATTAGAGAGAAAACGACTCACCACACTAATGACGTGAGCAATATCCGGCCTTGTACAAACCATGGCATACATCAAAGAACCAACTACTGAAGTATAAGGAACTTTCAACATCTCTTCCTTGTCTTTCTCACTTGTAGGACATTGATTCGAACTAAGTTTGAAGTGACCCGCAAGTGGACAACCAACCGACTTTGCTTTATCCATGTTGAATCTCTCAAGAACCTTCTCAATGTAGCTTTCTTGAGACAACCAAATCAGCCCCTCTTTGCGATCACGAACAATTTTCATACCAAGTATTTGCTTTGCCGGTCCCAAATCTTTCATAGCAAAAGACTTGCTCAACTCCAATTTCAACCTGTTTATCATGGTAGAATCTTGACCCACAATTAACATGTCATCAACATAAAGCAAAAGAATAATAAATTTACCATCCGGAAAATTTTTCACAAACACACAATGGTCCGAAGTGGTTTTAGAAAAACCATTATTCATCATGAAAGAGTCAAAAGTTAATGTCTATGGGCCAAATGATCCTGTAGATAGAAAAAGGGTGTGGGATATCTTTGTGAAGCTCAAACCGCAGTTCTTGGCCCTATGGTGCCTAGGGGGCGATTTAATGAAATTAGAAGCATATTTGAAAGAAAAGGTTGCTCTAGGAGGGATTTGAGAACCTAAAACTTCTTTTTCCAAAACTCTTTCTCTCCATCTATGACGTTCTTTCCACATATTTTCTTTTTATTTCTCTCTCTCCCTCTCTCTCTCTCTTCGACATGTTTCACATCTGGAGGTTGTTATCATATTTGTCCACCACCACTGCAGCCATTGTCTACTATGATCATCATCAATCACCACCATCTACCACCATCGTCAACACTATTTGCTAACGCTATCGTCCCTCAACTATCATCTATTCATATCTTCATCAAGTTCGTTTGTGGCAATGAAGTTCTTTACACAATTTCCCTCAGTTTATATATGTTTCTCTCTTCTTTTTTTTCGTCATTCTTCTCTTTCTCTACCTATAATCTCTCATCCATTGTTCTATGTTCTCTCTATATTATACAATAACATCTCACTGTTACAATGAAGTTTCTTTGGATGAAGTTTTACCGAGACAGTACGTGAATTTCACTTAAAATTCATCATTTTAGAAAACTCAATTTGAACTTTTTACGTATAAATTCGAAATTTGAGACCTAATTTTTGTAATTAGTTATTAAATTTACAATTTTTAGTTTTTAATAAAAAATTGTTTGAGTTTGGATAGTGAGATTTCACTGTGCAAATGTCAATGAAATTTCATTGTGCTTTCATTGACTTTCTACAATGAAATTTCATGATTTTTTATAGAAATTTTATATTTTTCATTAATCTTATTTGATAGATCTTGATAAAAGAATCATAAAAATATAAATTTAGCAGAAAATAGAAATATAAATAAAAAGTTATTCAATTTAAAAGTTTTCAAATCACTTAAAAAGTGAAAAAAAATAAAAATAAATAAATAATAAAAAAAATACTCCTATTGCTAGGATATTTGTGTCTGGCGCATTTTTGGACCTCAACTAGTATTGAAAAGTTAGTTGTCCTTATTTCTAAAAACTTTGAACGCGGGAGCTGAAAAAGAATTCCCCAAATTATAAATAGTTAGAATAAATTGAGAAAAAATTATAAATTTATGATTAAAATTGAATAAATTAAAATTATAAAATAAAAAATAGACAAGAATCGAAGTATAGAGATTACCAGTCAAATTTTTCAAAATTTAAAAATCAGTATCAACTAAAATACATCATATTATATTTCAAAATCCAGAATTCAACTTGACTTCGCCCATGCTTGGGCAAACCCTGGCGCCTTCAATTCAATTGCATAAAGAAAGTCTCAATACAATAAATAAAATAAAAACAAAATTATAAAAATAGGAAACATAGTTGCACTTTGGGGCTTCCAAGAAGTTTCCAAGTTGTGAAGACAGCCAACAATTTGGAAAACTCAAACGTGAGAGATTTCCTAAAACGAACTCTTTTAGATTTCCCAATCCTAGGCAATCCCCTATTCACTCAATCTCTGTGTCTATAAATAAAGGCCAATGCTCCTTCCACATCTTCACCCACAACTTTTCTTTCTTGCTTTTCAATTCTATCTTCTCTTTTCTTGCTGTCTTTCAAATCTCTGTTTAGGGTTTGTGTTGCGAATCATCTCTGAGATAATACTTTTGTGTGACAATGTATAGGTCCTCCATTTTAGTTTTCCAAGTTACCCAATTGCTTCCATTGAAGCTAGACATACGACCCACATTCCCCTCCATTGATTTACACAAATAAATA